AAAGGGGGATGGAAGGGGTAGGGGAGGGAGGATGGAGGGGCAGAGAGTGAGGGGATAGAGGACAGACAGAAAGGGGGAAGTGGAGGGCAGACAGGGAGGGGGGTGGGATGGCAGACAGAAATGTGGGATGGAGGGACAGACAGAAATGGGGGAAGTGGAGGCAGACAGGAGGGGGATAGAGGTGACACAGACAGAAAGGGGGGATGGAGGGCAGACAGGAAGGGGGGATGGAGGACAGACAGAAAGGGGAGATGGAGGACAGACAGAAAGGGGAGATGGAGGACAGACAGAAAGGGGAGATGGAGGACAGACAGAAAGGGGAGATGGAGGACAGACAGGGAGGGGGTGGAGGGCAGACAGAGAGGCAGGGATGGAGAGAGGGTAGCTCCAACCGGCTAGACTGGCACTTCAGGATTAATGAGAAATTACGTTGTAAGTCAGTAGGCACAATCCTCAGAGGGCCCGGCGGGGACTGAGAGCCAGCCCGGATCAAGGGACTAACTGCTGGGGATTCAGGCTGACAGACAGAGACGGAGACGATGGATAGTGATGAGGGTGTTAGTGAGCGCCTGGGATTGATGATAGTGATGAGTAGTTAGAGAGATGGTTATTGTTATCCTCTCTCTCTCTCTCTCTCTCTCTCTCTCTCTCTCTCTCTCTCTCTCTCTCTCTCTCTCTCTGTTTGTGTCTGTATTTGTGTCTTTTTGTTTCTATTGTTCTTTTTTTGTCTGTGTTTCTGTTCATCTTTTCTCTTCTGTTTCGTTTGTTCTATATTTCTTCATTTTCCCAAGACTATATACCGTACCTACCGCCTACACGTCTCTCCCGTCAAGCCACACATACATACACCCACTTCCACACCTCAGCAGTTAACACCAGGTAGTGGAACGACAGGTTAGTTCCTCTCGTGTACCTGCTGTAAGAGGTGCTTGAGGCGGGTGATGACGAACCAACACTAGAATCTAAGTATTATTCTAATTTTGATTTACTTTCTGGGCTTTATGTACTTGAGTGTGTGTCTGATATGTAGTGATTCTGGTCCACAGTTCCGCCTCACGCACCCACGATCCTAACGAAGGAGGAAGGCCAGCCGGTGTGGACCATGGTGGGCCCTTACAACGAGGGGGAGTCGCTCACCCTCACCTGTCAGGTCGATGGAGGTAAGTCTGGATGATAAATTTACTGCACCAATCCTCGTAAACCAAAGGGAATTATACATATGTCAAAGAACACGGTATGGTATATCTGTTTTCATGCATTTAATTATCAATAAGATACAATATGCCGTGCCTACTCTGCCAGGAATACACACATTCTGAAAATAACTTGAATATCCTATTACACTGACATGCAAGTCCATATGGAATGTTCATTTGATACTGAACACATGTGTAGTATAATGCATATATTCACCAAAGATTGAAATTGTATATGAAATATTTCCTATGGCCTGACTGTTTCATCACAAACATGTATATATATATATATATATATATATATATATATATATATATATATATATATATATATATATATATATATATATATATATATATATATATATATATATATATATATATATATATATATATAAATTTTCATACATTTTTAAATATTTGGTAAATAAAACCTCACAATACACAAATAAAAACAGAAAAAACTTCCCTTCCTATATGACCAGTCAGAGCGAATCAGGTGGAAAGAGCAAACCTAAAATAGGATTTTCACAGCCACCAGCAGCAGTAATGATAAAATGTTGCCTTCTAGGTGGCAATGGGTCGAGTAGTAGGAATGAACTAATGACACATAGTAAAAGGAGTTTGTATATGCTGTTTTGTTTCAACAGGATGGAGTCTATACCTGGAGGGAATAAAACGATAATAACAATAGGAAGAATGAGTAAAAATGATAATGATATAAAAAACAAAGATGATAATAAACGTAGTAAACTAATACACCAATATATTATAACTAATTAAAAACTTCATTACCTCACATTAACACCCTGAGCATCAATCCCATCCTAAACTCTTAACACCTTCGTCGTCATTAATTTCTACAGGTAAACCAACTCCCCGTGTGGTGTGGCTGATGAACGGGGAGGTGGTGGATGAGAAGAGCGAGACTCAGGGCCCTCAGAGAGTCACTAACACCCTCACCTTGGAGAAACTCACCCGTAGTCACCTCCACGCGGCCCTCGTGTGTCAAGCTTCCAACAATAATCACAGCACACCCGTCCAGACCATTATCAACATTGAGATGAATTGTGAGTTTTATGTTGGATTTTCTTGCTTAAAGGATAATAAACGTGGGATGGATAAATTTTGAGAGATTTTGTGTCTTTACTTGGGATATGATGTAGTTTTGTTTATTATTGATAACGAGAATTCACGTTAGGTTAAGGTATATATTACTACAACCTCTTGAGTACGTTGATAATCCCTTGAGTACGTTGTCAACCTTTTGAGTACGATATCAACCCCTGAGTATGATGTTAAAT